CCCCCCCCCTCACAAGCTTGACTTTCTTCACCTCTTTTCCTTTTCCACCTTCATCCCTTTATGCCTCCGCGTTAAGAGACCATGCGAGAGTTACCATCCACGTACCTAGGTCGGCATCTAGCGTGGTATATAGCGAAGACAACTTGGTGAGCGGTGTCAGATTGAGCCGACACGTGTGACGACAAAGGGTATCGAGGGAAAGGCGCGTCCGAACGGACGCGCCTCTGCCCAATCACAGATCCTCAAGACCGAGTCTTGTTAACGTCAATCGACGCGTATTATAATGAATTGTCCGTAAGCCGTCGATGGTCGATGTGCGTTTTCATTCTTTGAATCGCTCTCGTCTCTCGGGCGAAACAACAGAAAACGCTGAAACAAGGTCTCTCCGTCACTTCGCAAAGTGAATCACGAAAGAGAGAGGGAGATAAAGAGAAAAGTGCAGAAAGTATAATTGCGACGAGTGTACTTTGTATCATTACGTTAGATTATTACGTGCTTTGGAAGATTCTTTGAAAAATAAATCGTCCCGTGTCCCGTCTGCTGAATGGCATCGACACTTTTTCCTCCAATTTTGTGACGCAATTGACGTCCACTAAGAGGATCCCGCTTTTTAAAAAATGCTGAACATCGTCTGCGTTTCGAAGTGTAACAAAGAATGAAAAGTATCTAAGCCATTCCGTAAACAAATGTCGAAAGTATGTTTGACTGAATCAATTGCCAAGTCGATGCGCAGAAATCGCCGGTAGAATCAGCCTGACGATCGATTTGGATCAATTTCAATCGGAGATGCGACTCGGATTACTCCGGCTTAACACGATTCTGTGTATTTCTAGATTGCGATTCTACGTACAAAAGCGGAGAAACGAAGTAAACTCGAGTTAAGGTCCCGATTGCATTTCAATTAATTGATCTCGAATGAGCGATTGGAGGCCTCTTATCTATAATACAGATAAACGACAGGAAAGATCGCGTCCCGATTGCATTCGAGATTAAATATCCTGAACCCTATGACTCTACTTGGATTATAATCCTGTCTACAAATATAAATGGACGCGGAAGGGTTGAGCACCAGCTCAGTGTCGATTAAAAATCTCAACTGAATTACATCTGAATGGCGATTCGAGGGATTCCCTATCCGAGGAACTGTCTCTGTCAAAGGACAGATACATGTACGAAGGAAACAAAAGATCAGCAAGCCTTTGATCTCAATCGTATTCAAGAGTACTGTGTATTGATTTCATCTGATTCGACGACTCGGTGTTTTTTTAGTCAAGTGGAATCTGTCCTTTGCAGGTTATACATTCTTCCTGACGTAGTATAAACACATAAGAAAAATCTAGGCGGTCTGGGGGGGGGGATAATCTTCGTCAACGTTGATCGATAAGCCCGTATTAATGACGATTTCACATTAGCACCTGACGATCCAAATTAAATCCAGGTTAATAGCTAATTCTATTTCTTTTGAGGTTATAGATCTTACGTATGATGCAGACTAAGAAGGTAAACGAGGTTAAGCAAGGTTAGCGTTAATCGACGCGAACATAGCCGGACTTTGGCTTCGACCGCGTCTGAAATGAATTAATCTAGATCGACGACTCGATATCTCTCTCTCTCTCTTTCTCTCTGTACGGATTATAGTCCTGTCTACAATGTGCATAGACGAGAAAAATCGAGCTAGAGTTAGCAGTGATAAAAGGCAGACCTCAGCATCCGTGATTGCATCGTCGGTCTAGATTAGTTGACTTCGAGTTACCGACCGCCCGTCATTTTCTTCTGTTTATGATTCAGCCCGTCAGAGAGACGTCGTGTATGTTCTAACATTATAATCAAAATTACTCTTGCGATTTTAAATTTTCAACAAAAAAAAAAGCTTTCGCATGTAAGAGAAATTAGCCCGCGCTATATCGACGTATAACCGTGTTTCGTAGTGTTTCCAAACGAAACGAATCTAAATCGTTAATCTGGATAATCGGGCTCGATTTTCATGAGAAAAATGCTTCACGGCATGCCTGCGCTCTGTCGTTTCGTGCACATGTCGAAACACTGTGTATACACGCGGAAGACATCGGATAACATTTTCCAATTCCGATCCAGACATTTTGGGGTCGAAAGCATCGTGTTCAAAGCTCCTGAACTCTTCCACTGATTAATTCGATATTGTATGTTCAGTTAGTGTGTTCGAGTTATTAGAAATATTTAATTTGCACACGCGAATGCACAGATCGTCCCTCTCAAACACTGACTATTACCAAACTGTCAGATACAGAATCTAAATTGCGACACGAATATGCAGATACAATGCAACGTTCGTCCCAAAAATAACTTGAAGTGGAAGTGGTATCATTGATATTTCGCGTATATACACACGTCGAATGATTTCGGTCAATGCGGTGATTCGCATAACGTTTGAATCTTTCGAAAACGCTAATTGTAACAGTGTTTTTTCTCTACGCCGAATGTTACAGTGACCGTGTCGGCTCAACGACGCGAGGACGCAACACAGGAGAATCGTCGTGGCTTTCTCCGTTTGACGAATATCTTCTACGCATGTACATCGCATGTGCACCGACGATGCACGCATTAGTGGATACACGACGCGTGCACACGTACGCACGGCATGCACACACGCGGTCATCCGCCGCGATATACGCATGGACGTGCATGTGGTGAGATATATATATATACATTCATACGCGTTCACACGTAAAGAGATCGTTACGATCGACCTCGCGTAATATATGAGCGCGTGCACGCGTATAATATCGTTAATATTGTCGACGACGGATGCAGCGAGGATGTTTTGTTGCAGGAATGCGGAAAAATCAGCGCAAGAAGCGACGAGGGAAGGCTCGACAGAGTTTCCACGAGAGTTTTGACACCACCGATCCCCGAAGAGCGGGGAGCGTTCCTAAAACTCACGTAGTCGTTCGTCGAAGTTTCTCAGAGACCACGACGACGATGATAAAGACGAGAACTAGACGAATTGGCGAATGTCGACGTCGACGTGGTCGATGTTGGTGCAATGTTGATGCAGATGACGTTAATGATGACGATGACGATGATAACAACGAGGCGAGAGGAAGGAACGGAGATTGACGTTCGTTCTCGGAACTACATTTTCGCGACGCGTTTTCGCTGAAAAGTACTTACGATATTCGGTTCGATTCATAGGAACGACACTTGCTCGGCACCACGTTCGCGCATACACACATTTGCACACGCGTAAGAGACAGGCACAGATATAGACTCGAATGTTCCCTCTCTCTCGCGCGCACATACATGACACATACACATACAATCTTTCTCCCTCTCCCTCTCTCTCTCTTTCTCGCTTTTTCTCGATCATTCCTTACTCATTCCTTTCTTCTCTCTCTCTCTCTCTCTCTCTTTCTCGCTCATCCTCTCATTCTCCGTTCTACACACCATACTCACAGATATCTTATCACGTCGCGTTAACGGACCTCGCTTATGGCGTTTACCTCGGAAACGCTGTCTTCCTCGCTCTCCGACGAGTCTGTCATAAAGCGCGGCTGCAGCTCCGAGAAGGTTTCGGTCTCCGACTTCGTGGGGCTCGAATTCGAAGACTGGGGAGTCGACGACGTCTTTCCGATATCGTGGGGAACGCTTGCTGCTGCCGTAGCTACTACTGCTGGCTGCTTTTCGTGCTTCTGGCTATCCGAGGTCGTTCCTTGTGCTACATTCTGCATCTTTACCCTCCAGATAAATCATATGATACACAGTTACTCCGTTACTGGTATGCTCGTGCCGCGAAACACACACAGTACACTCATCCGCTCGAGATGTTTCGGCAAGAAGCTGCTCTCGAGAGCACAGTCGCCGTCATTCACGTAAGCTAACACCCGCCATTTCCACTATGGCTGACTGCGATAGTCCCGGATGCTTCGACTCGCGGCTGCTCCTCGCATATCGGTCTCTCTCTCCGTGCCTGCCCGTGCAATTCAACGCCTCTCGGCGCGGTTCACGGTGGCGCGCAACTTCAATTGCGCTCTCTGGCGAACGAGCTCTCCGGTTTTCTGATTTTCATCGCGCGTTCTCGACTGAAGAAAAAAAGAGAATCATGCTCCCTCAATATACATTTTGCTTGAAATAAGCCACTTACTGACAACAATATATTGAAATAATCACCCGATGGTTAACTGGCGTATAATTGGCGTGATAATATAACGCGATAATAACATCAGCCGCGATAAATGCACGATGAAGTCGAGAGGGAAGAATAATACAAAGAGACGGATGAAATAAAATATATTTTGACTTTTTTTTATATGAAAAATTCTCCTCAGATCATTTATTATATTGAACATTTTTCTCTGTGAAACTCGCCGCAAATTGAATTAATAATTTGTTTAATCTCTAATGTATAATATAGATTCTTTTTTTACTAAATTTTCTCAATTGTCCGATAGAATATTGCAACAATAAAATTTTCTCTTTCGTCCTTCCTCGATCTAAATTATACGTTTCAGAAATACCAAGGAACATTTTTATTATTATATACTTATATTTATCTAGTTATTGTTGCAGCATTTATTCAAAACATTTCTGTTTGGATATTTTTGTCTTCCAAGATATTTTGTCTTGGATATATGTCTTAATCCCGAGTTGTTTTAAGACTAATTCTGGTAAGACTGATTAAGATTGATTCACGTAGAAAAATTTCTTCAGTTTTGTCTTTTTCGATAGTAAATAAATTGAATTTTTACAATAAAGATACAGTAGAAGAATGCCAAAATTTTGACGAAAATGGAAAGATCAAACACAACGACGGCGATTATTTAGTTAATAAATAATTTGTTTCTGTTCAACAAAGCCAAATTAGACTTAAAAATGGAACCAATTCTTTGATTGGCTCCATACTAACCAGCGAATAGGAAATGAAAATGACGTATTTCCATATATAATTATTTTATTTATGTCTATATTTATGTTAATATATGTTATTTACATATAGAATGTATGTTACAAATTTTATTTAGTGAGAAATGTTATAGATTTTCATATATACGTAATAAAATTTTATAAGAGAAATTTAATTACAAACAATATATAAATTTGACCAGATTTATAATAAAACCTTTTTGACATAAATTCTTTCAACACTTTTTGTGGCCTCTGTTACCAGTGACTTACACTGCAAAATTTGAATATATATTTATAAGACATGTCTGATAAAATATACTTAAAATTATAAAAGTTATTACTGTCAATAAAGTAATATATAAAATGTTACAAAACAGAACAAATACTTTTATGTTAATATTACAAATAATACAAGTCAAATGTTATATTACATAACGTGATGTAAAATGTGCGAAAATTTAGAGTATACAAATATAACATAATACATTGGTTTTTTTATTTTATAAATCGAATATTTTTTTAAAACAAAAACAAAGGTGTGCAAAATTCTATTGCTGCCTTATGATATATTTCAGAGTCGTGATTCACATTACCAACAAATGCACAAAGATAAACTGCGCTGATAATTGTTTTCGATATTATATAAACCAAACCGAACCATATCTAAGTGTCCTTTGTAACAAGCAAATGTTGATGCGGACTCTTTAAATTCATTGGAATGTGTATTGCACGTTGCTCCAGTAAGATTCTAGCAGTTGGAACATGGCCGATTATTGCTGCTGCCTTCAAAGGTGTACAACCGTCCTTATTGTAATGTTCAACATTGGCTCCTGCTTCCAATAGGACACACGCAATTTCTTTGTTCCCATCAGCAGACCCGCATATGAGAGGGAAATCTCCTAGATTAGATATATAATTACTACATAGATTAGATATATAAATTTTAACAATCCAAGTGAACACAATGTAATATCAAAAAAACTGATACATTGAAAATATTTGAAAGATAAAAAATCAAATGCATGATATTAAGTGGAAAATATTTGATACAGGATGTATGATTAACTAGCATGCAATTATTTTTATTATTTACTTATTATTAGCGGAATGAGCACTTTTTGACATTAGCACCATGAGAGAGAAGCAAACGTATGATATCGATATATCCTACTCTGGTCTCCATCAATGCAGTACAGTTCTCTTCGAAGCTAGGTTTATTTACTTCAATGTTCATTGCGAAGAGTTCCTATTTCACACAAAAAGAAATATTTTCGTTAGTTTTCCATCAAGTTTTGGAGACTTTTTTTGTATTTGCATGTACCTGTTCTATATATATATATATATGTATGTATGTATATTCTTTCTATATATTCTATGCATTGTGCAAAGTAACGATAAAAAAATGTTATACTCATTATTATATTCATTATTGTTACTCAAAAAAAAAAAATCTATGTTATCATTACAGTTATACTAATGATAAAATATAATATTATTATATCAAATTGGTGCAGAAAAAGTAACTTGTAACAATAACGATAGTGATATTATAAATAACGCATTTCTTCCTAACTCTAATACTATATAACATAAGCTAATTTTATATTATTATATTATACCACTGACAAATATAACAGTCAAATAAATCAGAGCAAAATTTTAAATAAAATATTAATGCTTTAGAGAAAATTTTACGCAGTTTTTGTTTTAATTTATTTCATTTAAAATGTCTAATTTAATATCTAATTATATAAAGATAATTTTCCTTCTCACAGTTGAATTAAAAATAAAGTA